ATGCCTGTACATGTACAATGTCAGTACGAATTTCATTGATGCAAAGCATCAATTTGGCTGCAAAGCAAAAAAATTCTTTCACATGCAAGGAAAACACGTCAAGATATTCAAAGCTGAAATTATAGTTTTTCAATTCTATTTCAGGCTGTTTTCAAAGGAAAATAAATATAATTTTACCGCATTTGCTCATAAATAAATTTATCGGTGTTAAAAAAATCATGTTCATTGATGTATAAGAAGAATTTATTGTCATAAAAATGAAGGTGTAGGCCTGTCCGAGCCTCGATACCCTGGATCTTGATAACTTGATAATGCTCATGGTTTCTGCAGAGCAGGCTATGCTGCAAACCGCAGTGCAAAATTAAATTCATGATCTTTGTGTCATTTGTAGATGTAGAGCAAATTCAAAACAATTTTTACTAGAAGTTGAAAAACTCATCATTTTTTATATACCATGCACTTTAACCACATCATCATTATCTGGAGATCAAGATATTTCTTTTCAAATCTTACACACTCTCAGGCTGGGGAGTATCTGATGTAAACTCTTTTATATGACCATAAATTATCGATGATCATGAGATACTAATGACAATGAAATTGAAATATATTTCAACTTTTGATGCTAAGTTTAAACAAGTTTCTGAAATATTTTACGCATGATTTTTACTTCTTATAATTTAGGAATTATTTTATTGAAGTAATGAAAAAAAAGTCTCATTTCCCCATGTGCACTCTCTAACACAATCACAAAAAGATTGGTCGCTACCGCAGCCGATAATAATTACATGTTTTATATGTATGAACTTTTACATAGAAGAGCGGCCAAACATATACATCCAGAGCTTTCAGAATACAATTTTACAAAATTAGAAAATTCTTTATTGCCTATTTATCATAAAATATAAATTAAATTCTTTCCTTGATTATTGAATTCCTGTGTATTTAACTAGGTACTTAAATTATCGATTCGCTCTGATATTTGGTTGTATAATGATTACAATGTATAAAAACGTCCATCTGGTCAGTCATTGTTGCTTGACGACGTCTTGTTTTCTCCTCTCACATTGGTAGCGCGTATGAACAGCGGTATGAACACAAGCTTGTAAACAAAATACTTCAGTAAACGGCAATTCACAAAAAAGGAAAACCAGAAGAATAAAAGTGTCTGTGTAGATGAAAAACACAACTCATTAATTTGTTTTTGAACGACCCCATACGTTTTTTTCTTAATCCCATGCATTTCGACTATACGGTAAAAAGATCACTAGAACCTTTGGTTATATTAAAAGAAAGGTGTTGGACCTATCACGGCGTCAATAAAAGAATTATTTAGATATTTCAAAAATACCAATTTCCTTCTAAGAAAAGCCACGCAGCTGTATACAGACATTCCAAAATAATGTTTCATGGACCGACAGGTTGTTAAATTCCTCTCATCACTATAAGTACCCCATCCCTTCAAATGAATACAATGTCTTCCTTCTAAGCAGAGAATGTCTGTCGGTTGATTTGTTTTTGTACATGCATGTATACATGTAGTTTAGGGTTGAATTCCGATACTGAAAGTTACGACCTATTTTTATGTAAACCAATTATCATACATGACATGTTATGCCCTGCCATGAATATGGCCAAGGCATTTGGTGTTTGTCAGACGTCTTCCATCCTTCCTACTTTCTGTCCTTCCATCTATCCTTCTGTCACACTTTGCCTTTAGCTCAGTTCACAGGCCTTTGGATCGCTTAAAAAAATGTGTGTGTAAAAAAAATATTTTTTTTCAATACCTCAAATTTTTTTAAGCAATCTAAAGGCCTGTGGCTCAGATCAAAGCTCAGTTTCAAACAAACTATCCAAGATATTTTTAACAATCTTTATATACTGATAGAAATTAATTAGAGTTATGCAATTGCATTTACATTTTTTTAACTTGACTTTATATACATGTATATACCTCACTTTTCTTAAATTAGTGTTTAGCTCAGTTTTAAATATACCATCGAAAATGGTGTTATCAAACTTCACATGTTGATGCATACTGATGAGAGCTATTTAATGGCATCACCATTTTTGAACTTGGCCTTTCTTTTGACCTTGACCTAACTCTTTTTATCTCAATTTCAGCTCTAACGAAAGTTAGTTATTACTTTTCACAAGGTCATTTGGAAAGATAAAGGTCACACATACTAGTATTCCTTTACAGTCTTTTTCCTAGCGATACATTGTAAGTTGCTTCTCTTACAAGGTTTCTTACTTGTATATCTTTATTATGTGGCTTTTGACCTCGACTCATGGTTACGTCTTCTAGTCCGTAGCTCCAACGGAAGACCTATTCGTTGCTTTGCAACGAGCTCGGCTCTAGTTTATTCTGAATTTGGATATTGTAAATGTTGAGATTGTAGACGAACTTTTTGATAACCCCTCGTACATTCTAGAAATTAAAAATTAACAATAAAGAAAAAACAGGAACCTGAAGTCAGAATAAGGAACGCACTAAATATTATTGCTTTTATGTTAATAAAAAATCTAACTGTTGCATTTTTAGAATTGATTTTTCTAAGGTGAATTTATATTTTTAAAAGCCTGTTCTAAGGACAAACATCATTTTTCTAAATTATTTGAAAATAATCAAGTAACGCAGCTAGGATAAGGTTGCCCGTAAAATATCAAACTGTTCAAACTGTAGTAACTTCTCTGAACTACCTAGATATGACGTCATAATAGAGTATGACGTCAAGTCACTGCATACTTGAGCTGACATGACGGGGAAAGTGTCATAATTATTACTCGGCATGTAGATATATTATGGGAATTTGTGTTTATTTCAAGAGTAAGGTTCGTTTTTTTAAGCTTGTGTGTGCTGTTATAGTGTTTAACATTTGATATTTAGATATCTCTATTCCTTTTGCTTGTCCGATATGCATATATTCAAGCAATAGCAAAAAATTATGTTTGAAACGCTCCCCTTACACTTCCGTAGACAGAGTTAGAATTTATGAATCGTGTTTATATTGGACTGGCACAAGTGAAAGACAAGGATAAATTGAAGATATTTTGAGTGAATCTAAAAGAGAAGTATATCTTCTAACTGAATTTTGCTGGGGGATCGTATGTATTTTATCAGTTTTTGTATAAATCGCGATATAGAGATATAGAGAAATACCCCTTCTTACGTTGGTAATTTTAATTTATCGTTAAATATTTTCTTAAGAAGAAAAAATTAAACCTGCCCACAGCACTTTTTAAGTACCATGGATCACGATGAATTGATCTATGTAACAAACTTTGCACAATTATTGTGTTATGCACTTGTGCCGATGCAATTTTTTTGCAACATTTAAGAATATCATAAAATGTCCGTCACGTGATCAACACAGTCATCTGACATCACAGAAATGCTTTATTATAATACCTGATTAAACTGTTATCTCAAGTTGACTGCAATTTCTAACAAGGATAACATACTGAAATTAAAATCTAGCTCAAAATAAAATGTATATTCTTAAGGCATTTAAGGCCCTCGGACAGCCTTATCATAACTGCGAACATGGAAAACATATTTATTTCTAAATAAGCAGTATATCAAAAAATTTGGGGGGGGGGGTTTCTGTCGCTATACCGCGGTATTAATGCTAAAGTACGGCTGCATATCTTGTGCTTTTTCATTCAAATTTACATATTATATTATTGAAGAATAAGGTATACATGTAAAGTTGAAGTCAGCAGTTTGAAAAAAAACATAAATACTCTCACCTCATACAAAATTAACGTAATTAGAATATGCCGGAAAATCAACGGACGTACAAATTACATCTGTTTACTTGAACACAAGATGAAACACACCCTTTAAGCTTGATTTAATGGTGGCTTATAGGTCCTTAATGGTGGTTTAATGGTTGTCATTAAGTCACCATTAAGCACCTTTAAGTAACATTTACACCACCATTTAGTTATTACTAAGCAATCTCAAAGTCCCTAATGGTGGCTTACAGTTCCTCAAAGGTAGCTTTTAGACCACCATTATGTCACCATTAAGCTACCATTAAGCTAGACTTACAGGTGTTTAATGTCCAAACTCCATTAAGCTACCATTAAGCTAACATTAAGCCACTATTACGCAGTCGATATTACTGTTTTTATGGTTGAAAAATTATTGTCCCCCGCTTGAAAAGTGGGGGATATTAATTTGGGTTTGTCCGTCAGTCCGACTAGCTTTTCTTCCGTCCGTCCGTCCGTCCGTCTTTCTGTCTGTCTGTAACGCTTTCGTTTCCACACGATATCTCAAGAACCCTTTGAGCTTTTGCAATGAAATTTAGCATAGCAACTCCCTATGGACTAAACAAGACCCCTATTGATTTTGAGGTCAAAAGGTCAAAAGTCAAGGTCATAAATACGCAAATGCTGTCTGTTAAAACACTTTCGTTTCCACACGATATCTCTAGAACCATTTGAGCTATTGCAATGAAATTTTATATAACAACTACCTGTGGCCTAATGAAGACCCCTATTGATTTTGAGGTCGAAAGGTCAAAGTTCAAGGTCGTAAATTTATACATTCTGTCTGTGTGTAATACTATTATTTCCGGGCGATATTTGAAGAAGATTTTGAGCTTATGCAATGTAATTTTATATCAAAACTCCCTAAGACGTCTCTCACCCCTCTCAAAGTGCCCCGCCCCGTTTGATTTATTAGTATTTATAGTATTATATGTCGCTATTTTTAGCGCAGGGGCATGGGGAGAGTTATTGCGTATAAAACAGGTTCTCGGTGGACTTTATGTTCTTATTACATCTATTAGAACTGTTTAATAAAGGCTAAATAAATCAAACACCATGGATTGTGTAAAATTTTGAGAATACCGAACATGAAAACATGAATATATACATGTATGTGACTTCACTTCTTCATATACTTCACACCATCTAAAGCGATTCCGTGGTCTAGTGGTTATGTCTCTCGCTTCAAACGTGAGAGCAGGGTTCTCCACAAGGGGTTTTACCATGGCGGCCCGCCATGGTTAAATTAATGTGTGCCATGGTTAAACGAGCTGCACCATGGTTAAAATTTGCAGCCGCCATGATTAAATTTTATTGCATTTCAGTCCTGACACCTACTTTTTTAATAACTTGAGTAGTTAATTGTGTTTATACTACGACTGCCATGCACCTCGCATGCCTCGAAGGGAAGCGGACTGTGCAAAACAAACACGTCGTTAATCGGCGACTGTGCTGTAAAGCGTGACAATCAATGGAAAGTCAATCAGCTGATCACATGATCAATATTTTGAGAGTTTATTATGTCTTGTACACATAAATACTAAATAATTTTGGGAAACTTCAACATGTTCACTACTTGATTAGATATATAAAGGGTTTATAAAAGATGACAATTACGAGCATGATTATCGTCATACATACAATTAAGTTTCTGTGTCAGAAAAAATACTCTGTAAAAGTTTCATATTCCTCTGTATTTAATCAATTTCCCATGCTCTGTTTTTTTTAAGCATTATCTTTTTGATAAAATGTGAATAGGGCCTACGTCTCGATCACCGTCTTAGTTTTAATCACCGTCTTAGTCTTAGTTTCAGAGTTACTTCCCGTTGTTATGAAACCTAGCGCGGCGCTATATTTTTAGCACATGGCACTAGAAGTAAACAAAACTTGGAGAACAAGCTAATTCAGAGAATTTGTGTCCCCCGCTTAGGGAAAAAGTAAACCATGCGCAGTTCCTGGAGGGGGGGGTTGTCGGATCCCCCTGACTTAAGTTGTAAATAATTAAATTTGTAGAATTATTAAATGTGTACATGTATACTGAAGCAAATAAAATACATGTATGTCAATATGCATATAAAGATTTCGCAGGTAGGTTAAGGTTACAACCAAATATTCTACTTGCCAATATGATATGATGTCATAGTAAGCTACATGACGTGAAGTTTAGAGATAACAATTTCTTATAATCGATATCTAAGATTGATTTGAGGTCGTAAAAATTAATCAAAATATGCAGAGGCATTATACAAACAGAATTTTGTCGTTTCTGGGTCTCTGTAGTTATCACAGGGGTTAAATACCAAACCCTTGACGTCATAACTTTTGATCATGCAGTAGCAGAGTGAAAGTGAAACGTAACGAGAATTCATGTAAACAAACACAAGAAATCGGAGTTTAAAAGCATTTAGAATGAATATTATGTATGATTCATGTGGGAATAAAGCGTATGAATAAGGTATGGTAATATACTTCAACAATTTCTTCGTAAAATTAAAGCAGGGAGGGTGTTTACTTGCCGATCAGCCTTTCCTCTGTCGTTCGTAACAAATAAGATTCAAAAGTTCAACACTACGCCGCACACTTTGAAACTTAATTTTTGTTTCTATCTAAAGTTTTTATTCTATTGTTTTTGAAAAGTGCTGCTAGAATCGTATGGTTTACGGGAATTAATGCATTTTTTTCGATGTTATGAACAAAATGTAAAAATTTTGGGAAGGTTTCGTCAGAAAATGTTGAATAATTATTTCTGTGATAGGACAGTAGGATTCTAGCAGCACTTTTCATGGTACAGAGATGTTTTTACATAATTATTATTACAAATTGAAATTAATTATCCCCGGGGTAGTGTTGAACTTTTCACTTTTTCATTAATGCATATTTTCTAATTATAGACGTCACGTGGTGACGTCATGGTGAAGTGCTTCATGTACTATAAGTCCCATTGAAGTCTATAGAATGCATAATTATAACAAAAGTTTTATGCTTGACTTTTCCGATTTATTAGTGTAACCTAATTATAAAAAAGTCTTAATTCGCCGAATTCTGGTCCATGTGCTGCCTTAACATACCCGCGTTGAGCGCTTATTCTTTATTATGTGTAAAGAAGATTCTTTTTATATGGAATATTTATCACACTGTAATAATGATTTTATAACCTCATAAATTTTTCATTTCACATGTTGAATACTATCATTTTGCAAAAAAAAAAGTATTTAAAAAAAAAAAGGATCGACCGAGATTCGATCCCAGCACCTCTCTCATTTGAAGCAAGAGACACGACCACTGGACCACGGAATCGCTTTACCCGATATGAAGTATATGCAGAACTGAAGTCACATACATGTATATATTCATGTTTTCATGTTCGGTATTCTCTAAATTTTACACAATCCATGGTGTTTGATTTATTTAGCCTTTATTAAACAGTTCTAATAGATGTAATAAGTCCGCCGAGAACCTGTTTTATACGCAATAACTCTCCTCATGCCCCTGCGCTAAAAATAGCGACATGTAATGCTATAAATACTAATAAAACAAACGGGGCGGAGCACTTTGAGAGGGGCGAGAGACGTCCTAGGGAGTTTTGGTATAAAATTACATTGCATAAGCTCAAAATCTTCTTGAAATATCGCCCGGAAATGATAGTATTACACACAGACAGAATGTATAAATTTACGACCTTGAACTTTGACCTTTTGACCTCAAAATCAATAGGGGTCTTCATTAGGCCACAGGGAGTTGTTATATAAAATTTCATTGCAATAGCTCAAATGGTTCTAGAGATATCGTGTGGAAACAAAAGTGTTTCAACAGAAAGAATTAGCTTATTTATGACCTTGACTTTTGACCTTTTGACCTCAAAATCAATAGGGGTCTTGTTTAGTCCATAGGGAGTTGCTATGCTAAATTTCATTGCAAAAGCTCAAAGGCTTCTTGAGATATCGTGTGGAAACGAAAGCGTTACAGACAGACAGAAAGACGGACGGACGGACAAACCCAAATTAATATCCCCCAATTTTCAAGCGGGGGACAAAAATGCAATATCTAGAAAACGTTTAGAAAAAAGGGACACAGGTCCAAATGTTCCTTTGTGTGTTAACTTAAAAAATACTATCCATTCATCAGTTATAGTCAAATTAAAACAAAACTTTTCATACAGCAGGTTACAATTCTTATATAATTATCAATTTCTTAAAAATATTGCTATGGTTACTGACTTACTGTGTCAACAATTTTTCTTAAAATTCCATCAGGAGGTTACGACAGTTTGGGGCAAATTTTTGTACATTTGTCAAGTAAGATGCAGGATAAATCCTTTTCACTTTAATTATTATATTTTTAATTTTGAAAAGTGATAATTATGCCATTGTTTTGTGTTGCAGTGGGTAAGTTTAAAGATTGTAAAACATTGATTAATAAAGATTAGGAAGTCTGACACGCATTCATGTTTTCGGCCACTTTCGCCTTCGCGCAGCTTCCTCCATGGTTAAATTTTCAAATGTGGAGAACCATGTGAGAGGTCCCGGGATCGAATCTCGGTCGAACCTTTCTTCTTCTTCTTCTTTTTTTTTTAATACTTTTTTTTAACTAAATGATAGTATTCAGCATGTGAAATGAAAAATTTATGTGGTTATAAAATCATCATTACAGTGTGATAAAAATTCCATTTAAAAAAATCTTAAATACACATAATGAAGAATAAGCAATCAAATCTTTATATGCATATTGACATACATGTACTGTAAATCACTTTTTATTCGCGAGAACTTTATTTTCGCGGAATTACGCGAGACAGTGTATTCGCAAAAATTTAATTCTCGCGTATAATAGAACTCCTTAAGATTATATAGAGCAGTGACCACAATTCGTGAAATTTTTGTTTTGCTAATAAAGCGTCAATGACTATCTTGCGAAAATAAGGTGTCGCGAAAATTAAGTGATCTACAGTATTTTATTTGCTTCAGTATACATGTATACAATTAATAATTCTACAAATTCAGTCAGGGGGAGCCGACTTTTTCCCTAAGCGGGGGACACGAATTCTCTGAATTAGCTTGTTATTATAGTGATTTGTCATCACAAATTATAAATGACGAGTTCACACATATCTTGATTTGGTAAAAATAAGGAAAAGAACGAAATTCAAAATAAAAAAAAAATCTTTACAGACACTCGTGACCTTTCGAGTAGGTGGCAGCCACCTTAACCATTTGGCTAATACCGCTCTTGATATTAAGGGGGGAAATATTAAAGATTTATGTTGCACAAAGTTTGTTTTGGACTTGTAAAAGTAATTATTTTGTTGAACATCTCCAAAGTCTTGAATTGATTTATTAATCAAACTATAAACAGTTTTATTTATGGATATTTTTTAAAAGGCTTATACATGTATCACATTAATGTTACTAATACTTTCTAATAATTATAATATTTCTTTTGAGTTCTGTTTTTAAATTGTAATGAATTTTTCGCCGTTATTTAAAGATTTATACATGTAAGCATTAAATCATGATTGAAATCAAATTAATTATAGATAAAACACAAAAAATCTATCATCGGGAAAGACAGCTGAATTTTTTTTTAATAATAAGATATTCATTCTGTGGATATAAACGGTTTTTGTGTCTAAGATTTAGGCCTAGTGACAATCCTCGTTTATGAGTTCCCTGGTTATGTTTACAAAAACTTTTTTTGGAATATCATATTCAGTTAAAATTCTTTTTGTATCATAATTGGTATCAAAATAATTGTCCTTTTACAATGAATCATAATTTTTAATTTGTTATATGCTTGCGTTAAATTCAAATTTTGTAAAAATAATTGATCATCAAAATCTGTTAGTGTACATTGTGTACGTATGTAAAGTTTCCTGTTAGTTGACCGAGGAACTTGGACACCTAATGAAGGTCTATTGTCTAACCAGTCGGTGTACTGTACACTGTTAATCTTACACCGTTTCCCAATGTATATAAATCTGGTCGGATGTCTTGTTTAATCTGATCGGCTGTTCTTCTGAAAATCGATTTTGAAATAACAATCATTGAAGACCGACTTGATTTTGACAGATACTTAGTGCTACATTATATAAGAAAAAATAGCGAATTAATTCAAATTATTCATGATGAAAAAGTCAAAACTTAGAAAACTTAACATTTTTTATACCTGTGGCCCCAGCCCGTCCCTCCCCCCTCCAAAAAAAAAGAGATTTTTTTCACGAGAAAATGACTTTATATTCCTGG